GTATGAAGCTACACAAAATTCACGGTTATTTTATTCAAGTATGAAGCTCCACAAAATCCACGGTTATTTTATTCAAGTATGAATAACGCCTTTTTTCTAACGCCAATTTTTAGAAACTTTTGGCTACATTATACTTGTTTAAGTGATTTTTGTTAAGGACACTTTATCTTTTGTGATGTCATCCGAAAATATACAGACGATGTTTTTCTGTGCATCCACCTATAGGACTACCCAAAATAGTGCCCGCAAGGAATGGGCATGTGAGGAAATCAAAAGAAAAAGGATAATGCTATTTATGAATATAGCCCCCCCCCCCTCATTGACACAGCGGTATGTCTACGGACTTACAACGCTAGAATCCGGGTTTAGATAATCGTGATGGGCAGAGCACAGGTAGCCCATAGTGTATCTTTGTGCTTAATTCAAACAAACAAATAATTTATGAATAATTTCATTGGTTTGATTGTGTACAATGTGTTCCGGATTATGAGAGTATAAAAACACCTAAACTTTCATATTATCTCAACTTACCCGAATATTTGTGAATTTATTTCCCCTACAGTTCACAGCTAGTATTACAGTTCAACTATTAATATAAGACTCAGTGTCTCTTTGTGTGTGTCACATATCTCCTCCTAAACTGCTGATTGCACCAACTTCTAAATGGTACCAAACAAATTGTTTCGGTCCCGAGCTTTGCACAAAGGTAAAACTTTTTCTTAACCCTTTAGATAAACCGGGTATTTTGCGAAAACAATTTTCGGGGACTCCTCAAAAGCGGCCCCCAAATTTGGTATTCATTTACCTTAGAGCACGTAAATATATAGACCTACTAATTACCGTTCGTAACTTGGTTAAAGAAATTAAATTTACATTATGGCAGCAATGACCATTAAACTGAAAAGTGCAAAATAGTATTTCAAGCATTAAATGTACATTTTAGCAGCTCTGTAAATGTGTGCCATAGGCCACGCGTTCGCTAGTATTTACAGAGAGATCACTAGTGGAAAAGAGCTTTTGACTTCTGGAGGCATTATTCAAATACCATTATGATACATCTATCGTCCATATTTGGCAGATGCTCATTTTCTGTTACAGATCCTGTAATTTTATCTGTATTGATTGTAATTATTGAAAACAGTTTCTTCTAAATGTGCTGCAAATTTTCTTGCGGATTTTAAATAATAACGTTTTTGTAATTTACAAGCTTCACGTTCAACTATGACTTGTCTCGACTAAGTATGGTTATCTCTGTTTTTTATCTTTCTTCTTCCTCGAACAGGATTTGAACATGGAATCGCTCGAACTAGAAGCGAATGCTTTACCAACCGAGTATTCTAAATTATAAAATTTTTCTGGTAAGGTACTTTTTAACAACTCAAACTACTACTATAAAAAAAAAAAGGTTTTCTGAAGTCTCGTGTCACCAATCTTTGAGCTGTATATGAACATACTTTAATTTAATTTGGTGGTAGTTAAGCACAAACCTACACAATAGGCTATCGGTGCTCTACCAACTACATCTATCTAAATACAACTGTTAGCGTCTTAAGACTTACCGCTGAGTCTGTGGGGGTGGGAACATATTACCGTGATTCACTGGGACTTGTGCTAATGACAGTTACTATAACGTAGCCGAAAGCTCATTATTTAAAAGTTTTGATTTTACTTTTTATGTTACAGAATACTCATAGCTAGAAATCAGACACTACCGATACATTTCGCTTTGTATGAGAATCAGTGTAAGGGAGCGTATAGCAATTGAACGAGGTGTGCTAAACGCTCTTTTGTCAAATGAAGACCAAAAATGGAGCAATTTGTACTTTTTATAAGCTCGCTTATAAATATTATGCTATTATATATGTCACTCCGTGTATATTAGAAAAACAGACAATCTCAGAAATGTATATGTCTTGTTTTTCAAACTACATATTAACTAGGATGCATATAAAGTATCAAATATTACAAAACCTGTATCTTAGCAACAAATGATCACTTGATATTAAACAACAGCAAAAAAAAAAAAAGCCTTTCTTCAAATTTTGGTACAATTAAATACATACTACCGCTTTACATAACGCTTTACATCAAATTTGTTACTCTTATCAAAGTATTTCCTTACTTACGATAACCACTCCCCTGATCTAGTCTCCATGCTAGCACTTCCACTGTCTCATTAGCTCTTCACAGAATAAATAAACTAAATAATTCTGTTATTCTACATTTCTATTAGAGAAGCATACAAGTCCCCAAGCTTTCTATAGGTATCAAAATATGTCCTACTGCGCGATTCTTCAATATTTACATGATAGTCTCTTTCGTTTTTTTTTATTTCATTTAAGTCAATGGCAAATTAAATAGACGTCTCTTGGTCTAACAAACTTACCGAAGGTTATCTCATATTTGTGTCATTTTTGAAAACATTAAATTGTCCACGATATTAGCCTAAAGAACATAGCTAGGAGAAGGGTTTACGGTTACAAAATTTTAAGTTGTAAAATTTAAGTTCCCATTATTTTCAGTTCTACTGATTAATTTGATATTACCTTAATTTGAACAGATCCCTTCTTTAACCTTTTTGAATTTAAGTTTTGAGCAGAGAAATAAGATTGACATTGATCCATCTCAGTATGTTAAAATAAAGAGTCCAATTAAAAATGACTTATGGATAAAAAAAAGAATCCATGGAGCACGTCCATTCTCTTAAGTAAATGCCTCACAACCACCATTAAGTTATATCGTAATTAAAGTCATTACATATCAAATTTAAATCAGTACAATGAACCTTCTAAAAATATTCGCAGAAATCAAAATAACCACAGAATTATATCAAAATAAAAACGCCAAGCTTTCTTTAAATAACATGACATTTTAAACATTAATAACACACCCGTATTCACACCGATATCCAAATTGAAATTACTTCAGTGTATTTTTCGTTCTTCAAAATTGTCCACTGGCATTTCATGCTGTCATTTATCCCTACAAAAAAATCCAAAATTACATCATGTATTGTTATATCAGTTCATGTTAACAGTTAACTCTCACGAAAATGAACGTGTCATTTGTGTTTTGTGAATCGGCGAAAAAAGCTAATCGAAATTACAGGTGTCAAGTATTCAAAGTGATACAAAATAAGACACAAAGATTCCCGTTACAGAGATGAACTGTATTACCTATCACTTTTTGTGGACAAATTGAACCCTTTGTTTAAGTGAGATATGTAACGTGTTTTTGTTTCCTAAATGCACACACGCATGACCCTAGTAAGTGTAACGTGAAAAGCTGAAAATTCTAGTATCCCACAGATACTGAACGCTCCAATAGCTACCGTGACCTAGCTATGTGGACAAAGTATGTATTATTACATCTGACAACGGAAGCAGCTCTGGGCTACATACCAAACTGAACCAAACAAACATGGTACATTTTTAAAACAGGCAGGATCACAGGAATCGTTGAAATCAACCAAAAATGAATGATAAAAGTATAGGATACGTCAGCATCCTGTTTCCACAAAAGAAATTCCTGTCCCCAGTTAAGGAGAAAGAGAAGGGGAGGGTACAGAAACACGCAAGTTTTGTTTTACCCACAAATCACCACTCCTCTATGGACGTCCAGTAAACTAACAAGAGAAAACACGTGCACGACATATCATACTTTGACTCTAGCAGGTAAGAGTAATCTTCCTCTGACTGATGCACGTGTGATATACAAAGTCTAGTTACTTTCTTCGAGATTCCCAAGCGTCTAATCGAATCTAGATGTGTATTTGTGGGGTCTATTCCCTTTAACTGATAATCAAAAGTGATTTGGTCGATTACTATATAGCAATTCAAAGTTTACAAGCTGTGTTCTACTAGTTACATTTTAACCTCATATCACTCAAAATCGATTTACTTTCCACGTCTTCTGAGGATCCAACTCAAAGACGCTAAACGTAAGGTTGTTCTCCATTGAGGAGAAAATCCAGTAGTTAACTGATGCTAAATCGAACGTGTGAGTAATTCTAATCATATCAGTTTTCAATCAATATCATTGTGTGCATTCTAATTAAGTTATACGCTTTTAAACTATTGTTGGTCACAACAATAATTCATTACTTATTACGTTACTAGACTTGCCTGTGATCTAAGTGGATGAAAGCAATGCCTGATGGTATTTAAAGTAGGACTAGCCTTAGAAGGGAAAACCAAGTTAAAGGAGAAATTATCTTAATGGGTGAAAACAATGTCTGATGGTATTTAAAGTAGGACTAGTCTTAGAAGGGAAAACCAAGTTAAAGAAGAAATTATCTAAGTGGATAGAAAGCAATGCCTGATGGTATTTAAAGTAGGACTAGCCTTAGAAGGGAAAACCAAGTTAAAGGAGAAATTATCTTAGTGGGTGAAAACAATGTCTGATGGTATTTAAAGTAGGACTAGTCTTAGAAGGGAAAACTAAGTTAAAGGAGAAATTATCTTAGTGGGTGAAAACAATGTCTGATGGTATTTAAAGTAGGACTAGTCTTAGAAGGGAAAACTAAGTTAAAGGAGAAATTATCTTAGTGGGTGAAAACAATGTCTGATGGTATTTAAAGTTGGACTAGTCTTAGAACAGAAACTCAAAAGAAGTCTGATGATCTTAAAGAAAACATTATGTAAGTGGGTGAAAACAATGTCTGATGGTATTTAAAGTAGAACGAATCATAGAAGGACAAAATGAAGCCTATTGGTATTGACCAATTCTTTGTTTAGCTGGCAAATTTGCACAAATAAAAATGTGTAAATTATGTGGCTAGGAAAAAATAGTTATAAAAATTAGTTGCTATTTGAAAGACAAAACGTTAGATATTTTTCAGTATATTTATTATTTGTAATTAAATTAAACACTGCATACAAGTCTGCGGTTTCTCTCGTCAAGGATTACGTTAATCACGTGTAAAGCAACTTTTTAAAACTAACATTAAAACTGGCGATTTTATGAATAACATGAATTTAAGAGCTAATAGCTTCAACTGACCCTGGTCAAAATAAGATTATCACACACACGCACGCACACACACACACACACACACACATATATATATATATATATACTAATTTCTTTTGGACATTAACTCAATAACCGATGCAATTTTTACTGATATTTAGCCTTTTAAATCACGTGGTCTCCACTAAATATCTTGTTTGGGAACACTTATATGGCGTCAAATGGTTTCTAGTCGCTTAGCTCATGAGTTTCTATTATCATGTCTCTGAACTTGCGTTATAATGAAATGTTGCCTACTCACTCAACTCACGCCTTTTCCACTGAGTATCTTCTCACTCAATTCATACTGTGTCTAATGAGTATCTAATCACCTAACTCGTAATTTCTATTGGTTTCCTAATCACTCAAATTACGCGATTGCTATTGAGTTTCTTGTCACTCAATTAATATGTTTTCTATTGAGCATCTAATAATCCAACCGATGTGATTTCTATTAAGTAACAAGTTCAAGTCATTTTAATGGTGTCTACTGAATAAATAGTCATAAGTTCATGTAGTTTCTATTGAGTATTTATTCATTGTATTCATGTGGTTTCTATTAGTTGTCTGGGCACTTCAAGTATTAGATATTGTTACGTAGTGTGTCAGTATATAGTGACTGCGTTTATTACTGCTCCCTACTGTGTCAGTGTATAGCGACTGTGTTTGTTACTGCTCCCTACTGTGTCAGTGTATAGTGACTGTGTTTGTTACTGCTCCATACTGTGTCAGTGTATAGTGACTGTGTTTCTTACTGCTCCCTACTGTGTCAGTGTATAGTGACTGTGTTTCTTACTGCTCCCTACTGTGTCATTGTATAGTGACCGAGTTTGTTGCTGCTTCCTACTGTGTCAGTGTATAGTGACTGTGTTTGTTACTGCTCCCTACTGTGTCAGTGTATAGTGACTGAGTTTGTTACTGCTTCCTACTGTGTCAGTGTATAGTGACTGTGTTTGTTTCTGCTTCCTACTATGTCAGTGTTTAGTGACTGTGTTTGTTACTGCTTCCTACTGTGTCAGTGTATAGTGACTGTTGTTTTTATTATTTACTACTCTTCTAGTGTATAATGGTTATTGTTATCTTCTATTCCAGGATATAGATATTGTCATTGTTGCCTACTCTCCCAGTATATAATAGTTTTAAATTGTTATCTACTTTCCCAGTATATGGTGGTTATATTTGTTATCTACTTTCCCAGTATATGGTGGTTATATTTGTTATTTACTTTCCCAGTATATGGTGGTTATATTTGTTATCTACTTTCCAAGTATATGGTGGTTATATTTGTTATCTACTTTCCCAGTATATGGTGGTTATATTTGTTATCTACTTTCCCAGTATATGGTGGTTATATTTGTTATTTACTTTCCCAGTATATGGTGGTTATATTTGTTATTTACTTTCCCAGTATATGGTGGTTATATTTG